GTAGCAAGGGGGTAGATCCTAAAAACATATTAATGTTTTAAATTGTAAAATATTATGAAGATGATACTATTTATATATCATTTTCAAAAACACAAAAAAATATTGTTTAGATTATGGATTCACCCATGTGTAATCCATCTATATACACATGGACAGGAGGATACTACTCTCAAGATAGTCATTAGCCTCTGGGAAAGGAAGGCGCCCCACATGCTCCTGGCAAACTCCTCAACTCTCCTTCCCCCCAATAAGTCATGCTCTCAATTCCATATTCTGCCTAAGGGACCATCTGAATGAACTGCATTGTGCTATTCATGATTATTTACCTCAGTCACTACCCAAAAAAAACCCTAACATATCCTGGTCATTACTCACCACCATGCATTTGGGTACAGCACCTGATCTGAGTGCAGCTTCTACTCTTCCACAAATCCCAAACCCCTCCACCATGTTCTCCAGCAAAATTCCTTTGATCCTAACTCTTCTCTGAAGCGTCCCATCTTTTCTCTAAAACCTGGCTCTCCCCTGAGATTCCCCTGCAGCCCTCTCAAATCGTAGTTTTCTCTCCTATAACCCTCATCCACCACACCTAGGGGTGGGGAAGCTGTCCAAGTCGATCCTCACTGCCTTTTCAAAATTACTGTATTGCCTTCTTTCACCGTAAATCCTTCCCTTAAAAGCTCTGGCTTCAACGCTTATGCCATTGGACTTCATCACCTCCCACCATTCCTGGTTGCATATATAGATGCTGGTTACTTCCCTTACATTTAGAAAATATTATTACCTTGTTCACTATCACTATCTCCAATATTACCCCACTAATAATTATTGGTGAATTTAATACCAATACAGACAATTTTAAAATTCTGCTCACTCTGCGGAATTGACCTCTTCTTCTCCAATGATCCTGTCCTTCTTCCTATTGCCATCACCCACTTCTATTGTCACAGACTTTATCAATAAGGTTATCCCTTTCAGAATTTCATTTCCAAGTATTTCACTCTCCAATCACCACTCCTGACTTCAACAACTCTTTTCATTCCATCAGGACCTACATCCTGATCCTATCAACGTTTTACTATTTCAATCAGCCCCGGTTCTTACTTGCCTCCTAACAAAACACAGATTCCAAAGTCAATACTTCAATTACTCAACTTTTTTGCACCTCTCTCTTTACTAACTTGGCAAAATCCCAACCCTAACCATTCCATGCCTTAACCTGAAGCCTGTAACTGGAGAAAAAATTCACCATGCTACCTGGTAATACTTTAAACTCATGACCACTAACCTCAAGGGCCATCTGTCCTGTCAAACAATCCTACATTTCCGCAATTCATTTCCTAGAACACTCTATCATGCCTTCTTTTTTAATACAACCTCTGTGCTAGAGGCTTCAAGTCTGCCCTCACTCTGTTTCTTCCCTGCTCTGCATCCTCTTCCCTGCTCATATCCAGCTCCTCCTCCCAACTGCCCATCTTCTGAGTAACAGCAACCACAGGCCCACCACCAGATACTTGCCCTACACATTCACAGCCACAAAGAAGCAACGGCCCTCCATACCTTTTTTTTTGGGGGGGGGGGGGGG